GCAAGATGCAATAGGCATACAACCTAAACATGTGGACATGTATAGCATGCAACAACATGCAAAATGAAACAAGCATACAACAACATGGTGAGATGGACTTACACTAACATGGGTAGCTCTCAAGCATGCCAAAATCAGTGGCCAAACATGATGGAAATGAGGCAACAAAACACATGCAAACACGCAAGATGCAAGGGCTCTAACTCATAGCACAAGATGCAACTCTCCTAGTGCATTGAAAAGATAAAGTATGGCAGATATTCCAGCTCTGAAATGACATACAAAATGGTTCCGAATCATGCAAATGACTCACACAATGCATGTAGGAAGGCTCAAATACCGAAACTAGTGAAGCACATTACACTAAAAGTATGCAAAGCGATGCTTGAATGACCAAACCAATCCCAAACAGTCCCTATGCAAGCCCAAAACAGTGGCAAAATGGACTAAGATGATGCCTTGAAGTGCACAAAAATGAAGCTCATGCAATGGCTCACAAGTGGGGTATAAAAGCACAACTCTAAAACACATTGAAGGTATGATAAACATGAGAATATGGCACGCCTATAAACTCTGAAATATCACATTCAATGATGCCAAAACACTAAAATGCCTCAAGCAACACATGCAAGGGACCCCAAAACTCAAAGGTAAGGAAGGCTATTACACTACAACCATGCATGGCAAGCACCAATCGACTAAGAGTCCTAAAAACAGAGCTAAGGCAGCCCAAAATATGAACAAAACATGTTTGGAGTGTGGCCAAAAGGTGCTAGAATAGAGGGCCAAAACAACATGCAATGTGAGCTAGTAAGCATGATTTACACTACAAGCCTATGAAGCATGTGAGGGGCCACCAAACCAGCCAACATAGATTCATGGCATGCCAAATGATGGCCAAAAACCCACTGAAACATGGCTAATACATGCAAGAATGATATGTTACTTTGATAAGCTATGAAAGGGATTACTCTACACATGCAAGAGGCAAACAAAAGGGGACCAAACCAGCCATGGACAGAGGCTAGGCAGGTCCCAAAAGTCACCAAAAAGTGCCTGAAATAGGCCTCCAAATGATATAAACATATGCTCATTTGATAGGCCAAATATGCTAGTAAACAAGACAACAAAGGAGAGGGAATGACCCTCTCCTTCTTAGGACCTCAAAACACCATCCCCACAAGGTGGTCCCGAAGCTCACAAAAAAGGCACAAAAATGAGGCCAAACAAGGCGTAAGAGGGGGTAAACAAACCCAAATACAAAGGTGATCTTAAACAAAGATTAAAAGCATAAAAAAACAGAACTTTTATTAGTTATACACTAAACTCAAAACAATATGCAAATAGGTCTAAAGCCTTAAGAAAAAATAGGGAATAAAAGGGTAAGTTCTCACCATTGAAGAACACTTCAAGAACAGCAACTTCAGCACCTCCTTTTGATCAAAAACCAACTCAAAACTCTGAAATGAACCTCTCAAACCCTCAGTAACCGAAGTATAGTGTAACACTAGGTGTTTTAGTGCAAAACTAAGAACAAAAACCCTTTAGGACACTATTACACACACAACTATATAGAAAGAGGGAGATATAGAGATATATGGATATATCAGCTATATCTCCAAGTTCTTCAACCCCTGAAATGGAAGGAGAGGCTCTCCTCTTATAGAAGAGCAAAAATCAAGCTTCCAAGGGAAGCTAACTAAAGGGTGAAATCCCTCCATACACGTGTATGGAGGGTAGGATCTGTGCGTACTAGCTGGCACAGCTGGCATGCATAATGCCTGAAAGAGGCAAAAAAAGAGGTCTCAGCCAGAAAATATGGCCAACCGACCAAACTAAAGGCCGGCCGACCATCAACGGTGCCGACCGGCCATCACCAATGGCCGGTGGCAAGAGAACACGGCCGTTGGCATCATGCCTTGGCCGGTGGGTTTCGGGGATGGCTAACAAGCCATTCTCTACCCTTAGAAGCAAAAACCAACAAGTTCTTGGCCAACAACCAAGCACACAACAGTTAAGTTGAGAGATCCTAAGGTAAGGCGCGTGGCCGAGTCATTCGGGAACTCAAAACGAACACAAATATGGATGATCATCGAGTGTTCAAACGATGACGTCCAAGTCTTAAGGACGGTCAAAAATGGGGTGTCTACAGCATGTCCTTGAAGGTCAGCACATTGATGAAGCTGGACCTAGTTGTACTAGAGGTCGCTTTTCATCTCTGACATTGACATACAGTCGTAGGCCTAGTCATAGGTATACAGATGATTCGTGACATGTTATTTGTCAGTTGATGAATTTTTTGTGGTGTTTTTGTAAGATAACATTGCTGTACACATCTTTCAATGACATTATAAAAGATATTTTGTTATTAAAATGGAATGGTAACAATGGTCGATGACATTGTAAATGATATTTTGTTATTAGAATGGAATGGTAACAATGGTCGATGACATTGTAAATGATATTTTCTTATTAGAATGTAGTGGTAACAATGGCCGATAACATCCAATCCATGCCATAGAACACATCAACATCAAAAAACACATCCATTAATTTCTTCCATAGCTCTAACATTGTCAAATGCATACATGTGTCATTCGACATTAACAACATCAAATGTCTCTCGAGTAGCTACAGTATCATGAATGATGTCCTTGAAATGCTGAATGCGGTGCACATATGCATCATCCCAGTCAACAACATAAGAGTGATGGTATTGTCACGGCACAAACCTGCCCTTATTGGTTTAGCGTCGTAATCGGGCAGTAATCCTTGGATTACGGAAGGCCTCTGAACAAAAAAACTTATAATTAGGGGCTGCGGAAGCAAATATATATAAATATACATAATCCATCGAGCTGTGCAGATATACATAAGACAGATAATCTTAAATTTATAAGCATACATATGACGTCATAAAGATACAGTAGTTATACGTCATCCCATGTGCATATAAATAGAAATTTTGTTCGTGAGCCAAAAGAAACAAAGTCTTAAACATTCACAAAACATGACCACAAGACTTGACTTAATCCGGAACCTTCTCAGAAGGCGCAAAAGGTGGCTGATAAACACAAAATTCTTTAGGCATCATCTTAAGCCTAGTCACGAGCTTGCTCACCTACATACATAATAAATAAATAGTGAGCGAGAGCCCAGTGAATAATAACAGAGTAAATGGTTAAATGAATGATGTCCCAAAACCAATTCAGAAACCAGAGTTCATATCAAAAATAGATTCACATTCGTATTCTTGTTCAGAGCATATACATAAATAAGAGTTCGTGCTTAATCTTACATAGTACATCCATTAGCGCTAACAGATCATTTATAGAGCATCATAAATCATACTTGTCAGTTCCATAGAGGAACCTCCGGCTGGGTACGGATAACTTATTAGTTCCATAAAGGAACCTCCGAACTGGGAACAGATAACTTGTTAGTTCCACAAAGGAACCTCCAGCCGGGTACAGATAACTTGTTAGTTCCATAAGGAACCTCCGGTCCGAGCACAGATAGCATACTTGAATCACAGCATAAATGCCATAATATTTGTCAGAGTTAGACAATCATTCATAGTACAAAACATAACATTTCATAGAACAGATCTTATTCCATATACAGAAAATAATTTAACTTGAACATAGCTTTACTAAGTTATTACTCACAAATAACAGATGGCTCCAAGTAAACGAACAGAGTAGGCAACTCAAATATCTTGTGGCGCGTGACCTACACAGGTACAGAACGAATACATATTGAATTATACACCCGGAAAACATTAACTTGGTTCTTTCTTATCTTGGTGTGCTTCTACTTTTATCCTCATTATTGTGCCTTTATCTTGGCCTATGAATGCCTAGGATGGAATGAGGATGCAAAAATGTATTTGAAAATACTTGGTCAAAAATGCTGGAAACAGGGGTCCTGCTCAAGCGCAACTTCCTTCGCTCGAGAGAATATGCAAACATGTGAGGGGCCGCGAGAGTGCAACTTCCTTCACTCAAGCGATATGTAAACTTTGAAAAAGTATTGGTTATGTGATTTTCACGCTCGACGGTCGCTTGAGCGTGAGACTCTGGTTCTTGCTCAAGCGCAACTCTTGTCGCTCGAGTGGTCTATAAAAACATGAAATTTCTGAGAGCTCACATTTCACACTCGAGCTAACTTTGGGTCGCTCAACCGAAATTGCAAGATCACAGAGTGGTTGCTTAAGCGAAGAATCCATCGCTCGAGCGAAAAAGCAGAATCTAGGATTTCCAGATTGTTCTGTCCAGTGCAAAACTCAAATTCAAAGCTACAAAGCATGGTCTTTTGGGCCAAAAACTTCAGGAAACTTATATAAACTTGGAAAACATGGTGCATGAAAGATCATTCCTTGAAACCAATGCCCAAAAGTATGTGAATTGCTTAAAACCAATTTAAAAGTTTTCAAAATATGACATGCATGCAAAGTTATGCTCTTCAACTATCCATACCATGTTCAATTTAAGTGGTTAGTACAAAACCAAGTTGGATGATGAAATCATAGCCAAGGTAAGGTCATGCATGCGAAGATTCTTGCTTAAATAACTTCAAAACTTCATAATATGCACATGCATGCAATGATATGATCTATATTCTTCATTCTGGCTCAATTCTCATATAAATCACTCAATCCTCTTAAATCCATGGTGTAAACATCAAAATTATACAATCTAAAGGTTGAATTCTTACCTTAAACTTGAATTCTCAAGTATAAAAGTGTAATCTTTGAAGTTCCTTCCAATTCCTCCAAGTCTCTAGTAATCACTCTACAATTGAGCTCAAGTTTCTTCCTCTCTCACTCTCTCACGTTTTTGTCTTCAAATTGAGGGATTGAGAGTGCAAAAATGTACAAATAGTGTAGAGAGTGGCCTTATATAGGCCTATTACATTGACTTAATTAATTTTGGCTTAAATTAAGCAAATGAGCATTAATTAATCTAATTATTTTATTCTGAATCGAATTTCAATTATACTTACCATAATATTCCAAAAATTCCAACTAACACGTACGTCAAGTCAATTTCGCGATCGGATGCCGATAAGGCCTTCAATTCACAATACAAAATAAAAATAGAAACAAATATTCTTATGACAGATAAATAGAGACACAAATAATACAACACATATGAAATGAAGCCAAAATTCCATCTTAATTACTTATTAGTATCCTTAATCATGGTTTAACGATTAAGCGTGAATCGGGGTTGTTACAGGTATTTTCGCCAATTAGTGGCTATAGGAGGAATTGAATGGCCTAGCTGCAAAAAAACCTGCACCAAATGTCAATTGAGTTAGTGGTAATACCTCATAACTTCCTGTATATGCACAAAATGATAAGTTTCTCTTATACCTGGACGAAATGATTTTCGTTAACAAACCCAATGGCAATCTCACGTCTATCAAGTTGAGGTACTGGCACTGTTCTAAGAGGTAAAAAGGTGAGACATTGCTGTAATGACAAGTGGTATAACACAAGATTGTAGCACGATGCAACAAGATGCCCCATGTCTGGTATAGTCATCCAATGTGTATAGCCAAGACTGTCTTCAAAGTCTGACAATATGCTTGTCAATTCTTCAAACCTTTTGTAGGACCCATAGAGTGTAATGTATTCCTCTTTGTGTGTGTGCAGCTCACCCAAAAGATCATGCCTAACCTGAGCGCAATCATTTTCTGTAGGACCAATTAAAGCAGCTATAGCCCTGAAACCACAATTCCCATCTGCAACTACATCCTTGGCAAACTTAATGTATGGTTTCAACCCAAAAGGGAAAGCATCAACATATGCACCAGGTTTTATTGTTCTGGTAATGTACACTTTCCCCTTCGCATTCACCTTTTCCTTTTCCTTAGCATGTCGCTTTTTCTTGGTTCCTAGAGTAGAAGCTAATGTAGTGATTTGAGTGTCCCTAGGTGAGAAAGAATCATGTCCAGATTGCACCAACTCAAATGCATACGGGTCACAACAGGTAGAAACATTGATTTTCTTATGACCCCGAGGACGTGTTTTGGGCTTCACCTCTTGCTCAATAAGAAAAGTGCTTCCCGGATATACAATCTCTTTCAATTTCTTCAAAAGCTCCAACCGTATGGTTTCATCACTTTCATTGAACTTTTTCACAAACAACTCTACTTCTGCATGACAAGTCACCTCCGTTTCCTCCTCTTTGTTGTATATGGAGATATGAAGTTGCCTCCACTGTGAGTGTATAGTAGCAAGTTGTATAGGACGATATTGTCTGATGTAGTTAGCAATCTCATGGGCACAAGGTAAACCATGAGTGTGGTGAAGGACGCATCCACAAGCTTCAGTATCAATACCAATGGAATTGGCTCTCTTACTCTCCACAAGCAAATACTCTAATACAAAAATAGACACATTACCCCGTAGCTCCCTAAACTGAGAAGGCTTGAATTGATGTTGCACAACAGTTAGAATTTTCTCAAATGAAGCCTTGATATTAGTGTGTTGCAACTCAAACAGACTATGTATTTTCTCAAATGATACCTCAAATGAGACTTGGCATGAACCCAATTGTCTTTTAAGTTTTGCATGTGCACTCTTTGCCCTGTTCAATTCAATGTAAGTAAAAAAAAAAAAATGACACTTATTAATAACTTATTGAACACAAATAATCTTACCGATTAGTTGTAACATTGTCACAATGCATACACGTGTCTGTCTATGCCGCCACAAATTTCTCCTTGTAAGGAACCAACCAAGTATCCATGATGTAGTTCGCTGCATCGGGATAACTACTAAATTTCTTAAGTAATGATCTAAGACGCTTATCGTATTGAATTTCAAAAGATGAATACACTAAAGAGTTCCACTCATGGTTGAACTTCTCCTATTTTTGTTTTGTCTCAAACATTTTCTTGTATTTGGTCAATACATTCTTACTAATATGCCAACGACATAATAAATGTCTGCTACTCGGGAATATCTTCTGTATGGCATTCATTAAGGTTAGCTCTCTATTAGTGACAATAATCGCTGGCAAAACAAAACCATCCATGACGTCACGCAACGTAGCTAACACCGATGCATAGTTATCAGCCCTCTCAGACTATAAGTATGCGAAAGCTACCGAGAAAGCCATTTCAGTTGATGTCACTGCCATAACTTCAAGAAGAGAAAGACGATATCTATTGGTTTTATATGTGCAATCCATAATCAATATACGTGGGAAAGACCAAAATAAGTCCAAACTGGTAGGATGTGCCCAAAACAAGTCTGTCACAGTTATCGTGAACTCTTCACATCGATGGCGCTCAATGTAATTATACTTGGCCAATTTACCCAATAAGTGTTGCATATGTGATCTTCCAGTTCTCTCTACCACCTTGTTTCGATGGCGTACATTGTAAATGGTTTTAAGTGTGCTTATATTGAGGGCATCTCGCTGTTTCAAGGTTACTAGGATCTCTTTTGTATTAACGATGCTCTTTGACATATCCATTAATAATGTTTTTTCATCCTTTGACAGCCTCCCCGCATATGAATGTCCCTCAAGGTGCTCCGCAGGTGGATGGTTATGCAATTCACATACTACGGTCAATATCCATTCATCATTTGTGGAAAACCTGTGAGCCCTCATATCAAAAGGACAACCATACTTCTTCGTACCGGTTATTCTTGATGTATTGTTGCCATCATATTTTAACTTCCTTGTCGCTCTATATTGGCCATTCTTCTCACAAGCAAGGTACATCTTGGGTCTTTTTTTTCTTCCACCATAGTCTGATGTTTTGATTACAATGACCAAACTATTTCTCTTTCCAACTTCACGTATCCAGTTGAGCAATTCATCCGTACTTTTGAATACTTACAAAGTCAAATAAATATTATAAAACATTTACACTTGTTGAGCAATTCAAAACACAATCATTATAATTTTGTAGGGTGAACTTGTTCAGTTGTGAATTGAGTAGTGCAATTCAACACACTATCTGCGCAAACCTAACTTCTTTGAGTTGAGACATATTCCTGCATGTTTTGTATAACATTACAAATTTGAAATGGCATTATAAAGAAAAATTTGCAATTTGAAATTGCAAATTTAGTATGCAATTTACGAATTTGGAATATAAAATGGAATTTTTTTTTTAAACTTCATTTGGAAGTACAGTGTCGAACAAAATGATATTGCTCGAATGTAGTTGTTCGAATTATTTTTACCAATTCGAAAGTTGAATGTCGAAAAATTTAAATTATTTCGGACGACAACTTCAGAAATTACATAATTATTTCAGTAGTAGACTATCGAATAAATTGATATATTTTGACCCTAGTTATCCGAAAGACGATGGAAAAAAAAAAAACGACTTTCACATGGCAAAACTCACATTTCCTTGGCTATCTTTTTCATAAACAATAAATCTTCCATAACAATGATGAATGAGGATGGGGTTTAGTGTGTAAACTAATTACAAACTAAGAATCAAGAACAAGGGTGTTTAGTGTGTGTAAACTAATGAATTGAAGCTAACAATGAAGGGTTTGAAAGGATGAGGATGAAATGTGGAGGTTTAGCAAATTGAGTGTGGAATAATGGAGCAGCTACCATGGACTTGTGAGCTTTAGCCGCTTCAACATGGAAGTGGATGTGGATGTGGATGTGCAATGAGAAGTTATGTTTATTTGAATTTTGTATGATGTCCATAATAATAATTTCACTTAGGGATACAATTATAATAAAAATAAATATCATTAAGCGTGTGCAAAGAATGAAAAGGGTGTATGCAAATAGAAGCCCCCTAATAAAGGAGTATTTTGAAAAGATGATTAAAAGTTACTTTGTGACTTTTTAAAAAAAATTTGTGACGGAAGAAAGTGGGTTAAAAGTTGAAAAGTGACTTTTAATCCACTCCTCAAAATAGTCCAAAAATATTTATAAGTCGGCAATGGTGAAATAAGACAAAGTATTCGTCAAAATTACAATATACGACCACCGCGGTCCGTTGACTGGATGACCGTACACACACGGTAACATACCGTGAAATTCTATTTCCAACACCCTGATAAACTCAGGGCAAATCTTTTCTCAATACACATCTCTATTAATTTAATTATTAAGTAATTATCTCAACCCACATCCTTAAAATTACAAATAACCCCTTCACTCATATGTACACACACTTTATCCTCAAAATACACACTTGAATTTCCACCCACTCCCGTGAAGACCAAAGTGACCCCAATTTACATCTGTACTTCAAACAGGAAGGAAGAAGAAGAAGTTCAAACAGGAAACCAAAAAAAAAAAAAAAAAAAAAAAAAAAAAACAAGACAAGAGCTGAATAGCATCATAGCACCCCAACCTAATCCCAACTAAGTTAGCACCAAGCTTTATTATTACATTTATCATTTTGTTATTAGATTGACAATTTTCGGATCTCTCTTCACTCCATTGGCATGAAAGTAGGTTAGATTTGCGAGTTGAGGTGCTCGGCACTGGGTTTCCGAAAATATGTTTTTCATTCGGAACTTGACTTCCGTATATTATGCATAATTTCGTCCATTGACTTCCGAAAAAAATAGATAACTTCGTTGTTCCAGAACCGAATGTATTATATATTTTCGGTGCTCTAATTCCGAATAAAGGCAATAATTTCGGAACTTTATTGATGAAATATTTTTGATGGTTCGGTCCTGAAGTGCCGAATGGGTTTTTTTTTTTTTTTTTTTTTTACTAGGTTACATAGGCCACCAATATTTGTTTTACTTTAGGTTCAATTTTATTTTATGGGTATGTTTATGTATTTATTTTTTTTCCCCAAATTGAATGCATAACAATAGAAACAAAAAACTATGTAGTATTAGTATGTTCACATGATATTGTTAGCTTAATAGTTGGGTCTTCATAAATTTTGTTAGCTAAATAGGTGAACAAAATAATTGCATTTTATAGAGTATTAAAAGCTTGAGTTAATTTCACATCCAAATTGTGAATTTAATGGTCTATAACTGTGTATTAGATTTCATTAAGGTGGCATGGTTAGGCTAGTTATTACCCGCATTGATGTGATCCTTTTATGGGAGTGCTTATTATGTTTCATTATATTGGGTTGATAAGAATAACTTTTCTTATGCAGATGGATGTCGGTCCTAGTGAACATCGATCAGTAACAGCTTCAAACAGAAGACTCCGTGAATTAGAGAGACGTGGACGTGGACGTGGACGTGGATGTGGACGTGGACGTGCTCGAGTGCATGATGATGACATGCACATTGCCATGGATGATAATCCTATACACGGGGCATCAGTTATGGATGATATTGCTATAGATGATGACCCTATCGGTGATGATGCTGACATTGTTGATGAAGATATCCTTACTCAGCCATTTTCGGGAGGTCCAACTGATCCATCAATCCTTAAAAGTTTTAAAAGTCATGTTGCCGCAGCTATTTGGAATGGTGCTGATGAAAGGGGACCCTTAAAGTGTCATAATCACTCATCTAAGATTCGTTCGTGGCCATGGTGGGAACAAGGAAACAACGGTACATTTGTAAACATTGTGGAGATGTCAGGGCTTGCACAATTAGCTCGTTGCACATACCGCTTTGTCAATAAAATTGTAGTGTCTAGTTTTGTTGAGAGATGGCAACCGGAGACAAACACCTTCCATTTGACTGTTGGAGAGATGACTATCACATTGGACGATGTCGCCACTATCCTAGGGCTTCCCATTGTAGGCAAATCTATTAGCGTGCGTAAGTTGTCAGAAAGGCAGGCTGTTACATTAGTAGTTAATACCTTGGAAATTGATGAGCAAGAAGTCAGACATGAGATGTCTACTTCTGGAGGCAATTCAGTGAGGCTTGAGTGGTTGAGGGCACAGTTTCATAATGTCACAGACAATGATTAAATGGAAAGAATTGCATGTGCAGGTAGAGCATATTTGCTATTTTTGTTGGGTTGTACACTTTTTAGTGACAAGACATGTACTAGGGTCCCCGTTGTTTATTTGAGTTTGTTGTCTGATTTGACGACTGTATCTTCATATGCTTGGGGTGCTGCTGCATTGGCATACTTATATAGACAGTTGGGGTACGCTAGCAAGTCCGGCGTGAAACAAATAGCCGGTTACATGACACTCCTTGAGGGGTGGATTTATGAGCACTTTTGTGGATTCTGACCACACTTGAATATGAATTACACTCGAGACATGCCACATGTTTACCGTTGGACTTCTCGGAGAGAGTATGGTGAAGAGAAACAGTTGCAGGCTTTTCGAGAGGAGCTTGATAGATTGGGTGTAAATGATGTAAGTTGAAAAGTCCTTCAAAATTTGAAATTCTATATCATACAAAATTTACAGTTGTCATATCTTACAGTTTTTATTGTTTGTAGGTTATTTGGGACCTGTACCAGAGTTGCAGAGATGTCCATCCATGTCATCCAGTTATGTTCTACCATGGTTACCTAAAGTGTTTGGAAGTAGTTGAACCATATCACCCTGATAGAGTGTTGAGACAGTTTAGCAGAGTGCAGACAATCCCTAATCCACTACTTGGCCCTATGCGTGCTTCTCGAGGAGCCACAGCTCCACGCTACAATGTTATGTATGCATACTTGGACATCATTTGGGAGGCATGGGACAACCATGTGTTATCTGATCGGAGGAGGAGTACACCGGTACGGCAACCTTGGGATTGTGCTCCTGGTTACATGGATTGGTACCAAACCATTACCCATATGTACGTACAAAACCCATCGCGTCGTTCTCAAGTGGATCCGAATATCCATCATTATCAGTATCCTAACCAAGACGCACAGGTATCCTTTTTTTCATTTACATTGCAAATTATTTATGTAAATTGTTACAAGTTTGTACATAATGTTATATTTGTTCTCGTAATGCAGCGTATGTCACAGATACATCAGATTACTCATCCTTTCATTGAGGCTGGCTATGAGGACAGTGTTCAACATCCTGATAGGCTTTACTACGCAATTGATGCAATCAAACAACTTCTTCAAGATCAGCACATTAGTGAATCTGCGCCCAGCACATCCACTCAGGGTCGGTCTGCACCCAGCTCTTCCACTGCACATCGTTTTGGAGCACATTACACTCGCCGGTCACGTAGTTAATAGTAGTTCATAATGTTAGCACAAGCAGTTTCTGATGATGTTGGTAGATGTATAAGGGGACAAATATTATTATTATCTTCGAATTATGTATCTTTTGGATTATGTACAAGCAGACATGTCGTTTGTGATGGTGCGGATGGATTGAACTACTATTTAGTATATATATATATATTTTATTTACATACTTGTTTAATCCAATGGCATTTTAACTGCAATTGCACTTGGTTAATATTATTTTCATTACGTTTTGTGTTCAGACAATGTAAAAATAATATGACATCCATTCCATAAATTGGAGAACTATAATATTCTATTTTGTAAAACAAAACTGACCATTACAAAATTCAATGGCAAAATGCTATCTACCTCGTTACTGTATACTAGTAAATCATAAAAACTAATGTCCTAACCCTCTCATTACTACTCTGTAATACCTCAATCTATGTTAACTACATCAAATGTCTCTCGAGTAGCTACATTAGGTCCTATGTTGTCTTTGAATTTTTGAATGCGGCTAATATATGCATTCTCCCATTCTAACGCACAAGGGTGATGGTGAACTCGCCAAAGCATGGCAATGGGAGGAACTGGATGACCGGCTTTCAAAAACACCTGCACATACATCCAAAAAATTACATATCTTTACCAAATACATAAAATTTGCAATTACACAAATATTAGACAACAATGTTTGGTTATTTTCATAACTTATACCTGCACAAAATGATTTCCATTGACAAATCTAATGGCAATCTCGCGACGATCAGCTAGGGTTACCGGCGGTGCTCTCAAAGGTAAGAAAGTGAGACACTATTGCAATGACAAGTGGTACAAGATTACATTATAAAATGATGCAATAAGATGCCCCATGTCAGGCATAGTCATCCAACGATCAAAGCCTGCGCTATTTTCAACATATGAAAGGATGTGTGTCAGCTCCTTAACCCTCTCATGCGACCCATATAGTACGACGTATTCATCTCTGTGATTATTCAATTCAAGTAGTAGATCACGCCTAACTTGCACCCAGTCATTCTCTTCAAGACCAAGTAAACCTGCAATAGTTCGAAATCCACAATTCCCATCACCATCTACATCCTTCATCAACTTTATGAATGGTATTAACATAGGCGGGAAGTCAGCAGCATATGCACTCGGTAAACTTGTTCTTGTACGATATGCCTTTGTCTTCACATTCCGCTTCTTCTCATGCACTTTTGAAGCTCTCTTTTTCTTTGACTGACTGGAAGCTAATGTGTTTTGGCTATCATGCTGATCATCAACCAACTCAAATGCACACGGGTCACGACGACAAGATACATCAATTTTCTTATGTCCTCGACGTGGATTAGGTTTCACATCGGGCTCAATAAGAAAAGTGCTAGCTGGATTTGCAATTTCCCTCAACTTCTTTAACATATCCAATTGCGTGGCAATATCAGACTCTTCGAACCGCTTTAAAATCAACTCAAGTTCTGGGATACAAGTCAATTCCAACTTCTGTTCCTTCGGATTATGCACACATATAGTAAGACGCGTCCAATGTACATGTATGCTACTGAGTGGAATAGGACGGCCTTGTCTCATGTAATCTGCAATCTCGTGAGCACAAGGTAAACCATGTGTGCGCCTAAGAACACACCCACATATTGCAACATCAATTCCAACTAAATTTGATCTCTTGCTCTCTGCTAATACATACTCCAATGCACAAATAGACACATTACCCCGGAGCTCTCTGAATTGAGAAGGTTTGAATTGATGTTGTACAGTTGTCAAACTCTTCTCGAATGATGCTTTAACTTGAATGTGTTGCAACTCAAGTAGACAATGTATTTTTTCAAATGAAACCTCAAATGTCGTTTGACTTGAACCTAATTGCCTCTTCAATCTAGCATGAGCACTCTCAACCCTGTTCATATGGATGTAAACCAAAATAGTCAAGCATAATAATTAAAAATAACAATATGATTTATTAAAAATTAAAAAAAAAAAATCTTACCGATTGGTTGTAACATTGCCAAAATACATGCACATGTCTGTATGTACCGCAATGAATTTTTCTTGATACGGATTCAACCAACTCACAGTAACATATTTGATTGCCTCCGGATAGTTACTGAAATCCTTATGTAGTGTTGCAAGGTGATCATTGTATTCCTCTTCAGTGGATGACAATATCAAATAGTTTCATGCAATGTTAAACTTGTCCCATTTTTCTTTTGTCTCAAACATTTTCTTGCGTTTTGTCAATACATTCTTATTAATATGCCAACGACATAACAAATGTCGAGCATTCGGGAAGGTGTTGTCAATAGCATTCATCAAAGCAAGCTCTCTGTCTGTGACAATGACTTCAGGTAAAACACTGTCGTCCATAAGATCACGCAATGTTTGTAACGCCCATGCATGATTATCAACCCACTCAGTTTGCAAGTATGCGATAGCCACGGAGAATGTCATATGAGTTGATGTTACTCCTACAATTTCAAGAAGAGGAAGCCGATATCTATTCGTCTTATATGTGCAATCCATAATCAACACGCGAGGGAATGTACGAAGTAAATCCAAACTCACTGGATGTGCCCAAAACAAGTCCGTGACAGTCATAGAGCCTTCCTCACATCGATGACGCTCAATGTACTTATGTTTCGCTAATTCACCCAGCAGTTGTTGCATCTGGGATCTACCAGCTTTCTGTAGAACCCTACATCGATGTCGTACATTGTAAACTGTCTTCATTGTGCTCATATTAAGGGCATCCCTCTGTTTGAGTGTAATGAGAATCTCTTTTGGTCTTACTAGGCTCTTTGACATATCAACTAATAGCGACTTTTCATTAGCTGACAATCTCCCTGCATATGAATGTCCTTGGAGATGCTCCGCAGCTAGATGATTATGCAGCCCGCAAACTACATTCAATGTCCATTCATCGTTTGTTTTCAACTTGAATGCCCTCAAATCAAATGGACATTCGCACTTCTTCGTATCAGTTTGTCTCAATAAGTCTTTTGGGCCATCTTTCAGCTTTTTACGCAATCTATACTTCCTACTCCGTTCACAAGTAAGATAAATTCTTGGTCTCTTACGACCGCCACCATAGTCCGATGCCCTTATAATAATAACAAAGCCATTTATCCTTCCAATGTCTCGTACCCAAGTGAGTAATTCATCTTTGCTGTCGAAAACCTATATATGATGTCACATAACTTTCATAATAACAAACTAAACAAACTAACTAATACAAATTTATGAACTTACAAATTTTATGTTAAAAATTACTTGTTTAGCTGTAAAATGACTAGTACAATCCACCATAATATCCGATCGAATCTCAGGTTCTTCAGTGCATGCCATCTGAAGAGGAGGGGGAAAATTTTAATTCGGTTCTACAGAGGCAAAATAAATAAAAAAAATTCAGAAATTGAAGAACGAAAATAATAATAAAATTCGGATTCCTAGTACCAAATACATTGATTTTGTTTGGAACACTAATACCGAAAAAAATTTAAAAAATCAAACTTAAAGTGACGAACTATTTATATTATTTCGGAATTTTATTACCGAATTAATTTAATAAATTCGGCACTGCATTACCAACTGAAAAACGCAAAAAAGAAAAAAAATTACTCCACGATTTTATCTTTTCAATACTGATTTTGCTATCACTATTGCTTGAGTTTGAACTGTCATAGGTTTGCAACTCTTCCATATCAAAATCAAATAAAAATTGTTGAACTAATAATTAAACGATGTTAATAATTGAGTATAAACTTAAAGATTAAAACAATAGAGGAGATGTTTTGTTTGCAAATAAGAGAGAGGAGTACAGAGTATATAAGAAGCAAAGTGACTACAAAAAAAAATTAGGGTTTAATTTTTTTGTTTCAAATAATATATATTAAGATATTTTTATTTTTAAAAGATATGTATAAAGAATTTATATATATAATATTAAGAGTGTTGATCAATGACTATTACAGTAAATTTCAAGTAAGATATAATTGTCATTAGTCTAATTTTTCATTAGCTGTGTTGACTGAGTTTATCTTGGTGTTGGAAATAGAATTTTCCCTTGACTCTTCCAAAAGTATTTATAAGTCGGTAATGGGAAAACAAGACAAAGTATTCGTCAAAATTACAATATACGACCACCGCGCTCCGTTGACTGCATGGCAATACACACACGGTAACATACCATAGACTCTCGCTCTCTCTCTCTCTCTCTCTCTTCTCTGATCTCTGGATTGCTCTCCTCCGCCATCAGATCTTCCAAACCCTAGGGTTTCAATCTTCTCTCTCCAAATCTCTCTCTTTCTTTCTTTCTTCTTCGAATTCCTTCTCGAGAACTTGAATCGTTTTGTTGACGATGCATGTGTAGTTGTTGAGAGGAGGAATAGTTCGAATTTTGTAGTATGAGAATTGGATGAGTAAGGTGGTTGTGGTTGGTGGCGAAAAGTGTGCTGTATGTTTTGAGAGAGAGAATTGGGAGAGAATAAAGAGAGATTGCGGTGATTTGGTCATTCGGAGCTGTCGGTGGGGCTAATGTGTCTGATTCGTTAACTCCTTCAAGTTTTTTTTTTCCACTGAATTTCCAGGGTTTTCTGATCTGTCTGCTACTCGGGAATATCTTCTGAGTTCTGAGGCAATCTTGTGGCGTTGAATTCGGAGAGGTCTTTGAAAGATGCAGCGAGATCAGAGAAAGAAGGTTACTTTTTCGCACTTCTCTCTCTCTCTCTCTCTCTCTCTTCTTCTTCTTCTTCTTCTTTCTCGAGTTTTATCTATGGTTAATGAAAGAGGAGATCTTGATTTTCTCTCTCTGAATTCGTTTTTCTTCAAATTTGTTGGAAGAAAGATGAGATCTTGGTTGCATTTCTGTATCTGTTTGTTCTGTGTGTGGTTTAGGGTTAGTGAAGGCACATAAGAGTCTTTATGTGTTTGTATCTTGGAACTTAATATTAGTTTGATTGTAGATAGAGAATTTCGATCTTTTGGTTATATTAATTTGATCTGTAAGTGATTTTTGTAGGTAATTGGGAATTTGATTCTCTCGCTATAAAATTTAGAAAATCTAGAACTTCACTGACTTCATGCAGCCGACCACGTTTGATGTTTGGTTAGAACTTCACTGACTGAATTTAAAAACTCTGGTTTTAAGTTTAGTTGAGTTGATTTTATTTAATTTTCTCCTACGTGAATTGGTCCAGAAAAGAGTTAGACTTATTTACTTATTTTGAGTTTTTCCAGCTTTCTTGGCTATCAAAATGAGTATAATATATATCTCTGGTTTGTAGTTTTATATTTTGTTCTTTGTAAAGAATTATTTGTTCATGTAAAACCTCCAGTACATATAAGTTGTACACTCAAATACACATTAACTACTCACAAACACAAAGCTCTCACTGACTGGATGCATTGCGCCAATCTTTTGCTCACTTACAAACACTAGTACTTAAAAAATACTCTAAGCACTCAAAAGTGTGCACACCTTGGAATCCAAAGTTTTCCATCCTTTTGGAAATAAACTTATTGTGCTAAGTAGTTAGTGCAGTTTAGGGGAGTGAGCTTAAATTTGTTTTGGCTCTTATGAAAGCTGCATATGGCATGTTTTGATCAAGTAAATCATCTACTCTATTTGTTCTGTGAAGTGAAAGTTTGGATGATGGGTCGAATTTTATTCTCTTTGGATAGTAGTCCTATTAGCTATGTTTGAGGTTTATTTCCACAAATAATGTTATGCATTTAAATATTTTACTTGAATTCTCACAATTACATAATCAACATATTTAAAATGATTTATATTTGCTTTGTGTTTATATGGTTTAGCTTGCATTTTACTTGCCAAAAAAAAAAAAAAAAAGATTTATCATATATTTTGTGCTTAAATAATTTAATGTTTTATCATATCAAGCAGTGCTTATTAGTTGTTTTCTCTATCTAAGTTTTGTGTGATTCACCTTTTAGTAACTAGTATGTGATGGCAATGCATGAATGCGACTCATTTTTTTTATAATCATTGTACAGAGCCCGAAAGAGATGGACTTCTTCACTGAGTATGGGGATGCAAATAGATACAAAATTCTGAAAATTATAGGGAAAGGAACCTATGGAGTTGTTTGTGCAGCCATTGACACACATACCGGGGAAAAAGTGTCAATAAAGAAAATTAATGACATTTTTGAGAATACCTCTGATGCTATTCGAGTCTTACGGGAGGTCAAATTGCTTAGGCTTTTACGTCATCCTGATATTGTTGATATCAAGAGCATCATGCTGCCACCTTCAAGGCGAGAGTTCAAAGACATTTATGTTGTTTTTGAGCTGATGGAGTCTGATCTTCACCAAGTCATCGAATTAAATGATGACTTGACACATGATCACCATCGGTTTTTCCTGTATCAGATGCTACGTGCAATGAAATATATGCATACAGGTGACCATTCTTTTGTAATATGTAGGGTGACTAGTTATTATCTTAGCAGCCCATCATAGATTATTCCCATGTAATGAACCCATATAGTTTATGCAAAACACATTTTTTAGTTTTTTCCTTACCACTTCGCACCTCTCTTTCTCTCTCCATGCATTTCTATATCTCTCTCCTTTTCTGAATTCTGCCCCCACCCCCCCTCTTCCTTCTCCTGTCACTTCATTTATTTGTGGGATCTAATCTGATTCAAAGCTGTTTGGTTGCAGCAAACGTGTACCATCGGGATCTTAAACCAAAGAATATATTGGCAAATGCAGATTGCAAACTTAAAATATGTGATTTTGGACTAGCAAGAGTTGCATTTAAGGATACACCAACAGCAATATTTTGGACGGTATGTTATTTGTATAATACCATATGACTTTGATATCAAAATGTCTGCCTTATTTGGTAACATTGGGCTTGTTTGACATGCCTATAAGGAAGCATACTCCTTAATTTTCGAACTTCATTTTCAGAATTCCTCCTGCAGTTATATCCTTTCTGCTGTTTTTTAATTTTATTTTTTCCTTCTTGATATGCTTTGCAGGATTATGTTGCTACAAGATGGTATAGGGCTCCTGAGCTGTGTGGATCATTCTTCTCAAAGGTATAGCTCACTTAACCATGTGCTGGATGCTTTTATTCGGATCCATTAGCAACATGCTTTGGGGCATGGTCTATGCTGTGTGGTGTCTAATATCTTGTACTGCTTATTGTGGCTTTTCTCATAGCATCAGGTCTTCAGGCCTTTCCTTTGTCCTTATTTAAACTGATTCCTTTTCTCATATTCTTTTTTCTACATGGCAGCCAGCCTCATTTTTTAAAGGCGTTCTTTGTTCTTCTTATCCTCTTACACTGCACGGATAATTATATCCCTGTAATGGTAAAATCTTTTTGTTGGTTTTGTTCCACATGATCAAACCTTGTAAAAGTGCTACTTCCACTTTTTGATTCACATGTTTGTTGTTTTTAAGTCCCGTCTCCTCTTATTTTACCTTCAATTGGAGCTACATGTAATTCTTCATGAATGCGTTTAGATATTAAATTATGTTATTTTGTTACCGCTGCTCCTGCTTATCACCTCATTTGTGGTATGTTGATGTTCTAGTCATTTTGCTTGACTACTTAGCAACATCTATCATAAACCATTTTCGGTCTTGCAGAATCTATATGATTTTTTGTTGACTTGATACACGACTTATTATCGACTGGGTGATTGATTTGCTCTTTCAGTTGAAATATTTTAGGGCCTTGAGGCATGCACAGGGAATTCTATAGCTGTGTTTAAACAAAATCTTAGATCATTTTTGAATTTCATAATTTATAACATATTATTGCTTTTGTTTGGTTATTCACAAAGTTAACAAGAGGGTTACACACAAGGTTCTGAAAAGCGGTTGCGGTTACCGTAACGGTGGCGGTGACGCGGTTGCGGTTGCGGGGTGTAAAGGCCGTAGTGTAACGGTTGCGGTAACCGGAACCGTGAATTTTTTTATTTTTTGCACAATTTGAAAAAAACTTACCGATACGTATATTTTTTTTTCCATGATCATATTTATTGGGTTAAAAATAAATATTGATCAATTTTTATAAATTTTTAAGTATGATCCAATATATTTCATATTTTTAAATCACTATAAACTGAGTTTTTTACATTTTATTTTAATAATTAATGAATTTATATTATACAAAAAATCAATCACTAACTATTATATATAAGATAAATAATGACAAAAGTAAGAATAAATAAGAGCCTAAATATATATATATATATACATATTTTAACCAAGCCAAATAGATAATGGCCACACTTATTATTATTTTCAAACAATATATAGATAGACACACATAAACAAAATGGTTTAGTGATAGCAGCTGAATAGAATAGCATAAGTCTTACAGTTTCAACAAATCAATAACATATTCTTCATCTTCCCTTTTCTCTCTCTATCTTTTGCTCCTCTATTTTCTCTCTTTATCTTCCCTCTTTTCTCTATCCCGCTTCCCCCATTTTCAGTTTTTTTTTGTGTGTTTTTTCGAAAGAAACAATTTGGAACTGTTACGTAACGGTGTATAACAGGCCGTTACGACTGTTACGACACCATTACGACCGCTACGGTAGCCGCTACGGCCGACACACCTGTGAATATCAATCACACTGCAAAAGCGGCCGTAACGGGTGGCGGTAACCGCCAAAACCGTTACGTAACGGTTGCGGCCGCTTTTTAAAACCTTGGTTACACATGTTTGGCGTTTTTACCATCTGTCACTAGTATGAGCTATGGCTTGAATACGGTAGTAATGCATTAATTTGTGTAAAATGCGTTCTTAGTGCCTTAATGAAGTAGTAATCCCTAGATTAAAATAATTCTTGTTCAGGGAGGACTATTGAATTCTCCTGGAAGTTGAAATTTCTGTCTTCCAAGCAACTGTGTCAGGGCTTATGTCATTTCTGTGAAGGGGTTTAATTGATGTGTGATATTTCTAATGCTTGTAACAGTCTGATTTGTGTTGCCATCTGGATTGCAGTATACACCAGCTATTGATATTTGGAGTGTCGGCTGCGTCTTTGCTGAAGTATTGACCGGGAAGCCATTGTTTCCTGGTAAAAATATTGTTCATCAATTAGATTTGATAACTGATCTTCTTGGGACTCCATCCTCAGATACCATTTCTGTAGTATGGCACATTACTCTTCTTCATTTTTATTTTTTAATATATATGTATCTTTTAAATTTGTAGCTATAAAATTTCTTTAAAAGGTATTTTTTTAAAAGCTTTCTCTTGTAACCATTGCAGGTTCAAAATGAGAAGTCAAGGAGATACTTGACAAGTATGCGGAAAAAGCAACCCGTGCCGTTTTCTGAGAAAATTCCAAATGCAGATCCTTTAGCACTTCGATTACTACAACGGCTATTAGCATTTGATCCAAAGGACCGGCCAACTGCCGAAGAGGTTTGTTGTGTCTTGACGGCTGTAGCTTGTAATGTAAATTTCTCCTATTGTTTGATTGAGTTTGTAGAACTGGTTTTTGAAATTTTTCTGAAAATTAAAAACTAGTTTGACAAAAATAAACACAAAAAATGTATTTGTAAATTTTTTAAAAATTATCTTCGCCCTGAAAAAAAAAACACATGAAAATAATGTGTTTTATTTTTTTTTCTCCAAATTAGTTTTTAAATTCCCCCCCCGAAAACTCAACTAAACACATCTTTATGGTAATATTTACCTACAATTTTGATGTATTTGTTTTATTAGGCATTAGCTGATCCTTACTTCAAGGGGCTAGCCAAAGTTGAGAGGGAACCTTCCTGTCAGCCAATCTCTAAGCTAGAGTTTGAGTTTGAGAGGAGACGGGTGACGGAGGAGGAAATAAGGAAACTAATATTTCGGGAGATACTCGAATATCATCCACAATTGCTTAAGTATTACTTGGCGGGGAATGAAGGCGCCAATTTTCTTTATCCCAGGTTCCTGAATTTTTTAAACTAAGCACATTCAAACTGTAATATGCTTTTGTAGCTTTATTCCACATTTTATGCTCTTTTCCCATATTCTTAACTGTTATATCAATTGTCTGCAGTGCTGTTGGTCAATTTAGAAAACAATTTGCGTATCTTGAGGAAAACAGTGGTAAAAGTGGGCCTGTAATTCCTCCAGAGAGGAAGCATGTGTCACTCCCTCGGTACATCTCTCTCTCTCTCTCCCCCCTTTTGCCAAAGCTGCCTTCCTAGTGGGAAAAGGACACAATGGAAGTTAGTTACTGCAAGTAGAACCTATAGCCTTCTTTAATTCTTTTAAGCAGTGGTGAAAAGGTTTTTATAACAATAAAATTATGGCCAAAGGCATGATATAGAGCTTGTTTGGTGTAGCTTTATTAACACTTTCTTTATCCCAGGTTCCTGAATTTTTTAAACTAAGCACATTCAAACTGTAATATGCTTTTGTAGCTTTATTCCACATTTTATGCTCTTTTCCCATATTCTTAACTGTTATATCAATTGTCTGCAGTGCTGTTGGTCAATTTAGAAAACAATTTGCGTATCTTGAGGAAAACAGTGGTAAAAGTGGGCCCATAATACCTCCAGAGAGGAAGCATGTGTCACTCCCTCGGTACATCTCTCTCTCTCTCTCCCCCCTTTTGCCAAAGCTGCCTTCCTAGTGGGAAAAGGACACAATGGAAGTTAGTTACTGCAAGTAGAACCTATAGCCTTCTTTAATTCTTTTAAGCAGTGGTGAAAAGGTTTTTATAATAATAAAATTATGGCCAAAGGCATGATACAGAGCTTGTTTGGTGTAGCTTTATTAACACTTAAAGTCTATAATCAGAAGTGAAAGCTAAAAAGTATCCCTTCCCCAGCTTCCAAATAATCAGTTTTTTTCAACTTATTTATATTTGCCTCATAGCTAATAAGTAGAAGTGGTATAGTAGCACAGACTTCCAAAAGAAAATTTTTAAGAAGAAAAAAAGCTATAAGCAGCCCCAAACGAGCCCAATCTCTTTCCCGGAGATTATATCAATTCTGAAACCTTCCATTGGAGCTACATCTAATTCTTCATGAATGTTTAGATATTAAATTATGTTATTTTGTTGCTGCTGTTCCTGCTTATCATCCCATTTGTTGGTATATTGATGTTCTAGGCATTTTCTTGACTACTTAGCATCGTCTATCATAAACCATTTTCGATCTTGCAGAATCTATATGATTTTTTGTTGACTTGATACACGACTTATTATCGACTGGGTGATTGATCTGCTCTTTTAGTCTAAATATTTTAGGGCCTTGAGGCATACACAGGGAATTCTATAGTTCTGTAAACAAAATCTTAGATGGTTTTTGAATTTCATAATTTATAACATATTATTGCCTTTGTTTGGTTATTAACAAAGTTAACAATTTGGCGTTTTTACCATCTGTCACTAGTATGAGCTATGGCTTGAATACTGTAGTAATGCATTAATTTATGTGTAAAAAGCGTTCTGAGTGCCTTAACGAAGTAGTAATCCCTAGATTAAAATAATTCTTGTTCAGGGAGGACTATTGAATTCTCCTGGAAGTTGAAATTTCTGTCTTCCAGGTAACTGTGTCAGGGCTTATGTCATTTCTGTGAAGGGATTTAATCGATGTGTGATATTTCTAATGCTTGTAACATAGTCTGATTTGTGTTGCCATCTGGATTGCAGTATACACCAGCTATTGATATTTGGAGTATTGGCTGCATCTTTGCTGAAGTATTGACAGGGAAGCCATTGTTTCCTGGTAAAAGTGTTGTTCATCAATTAGATTTGATCACTGATCTTCTTGGGACTCCATCCTCAGATACCATTTCTGGAGTATGGCACATTACTCTTCTTCTTTGTTATTTTTTAATATATATATCTTTAAAATTTATAGCTATAAAATTTTCTTTAGAAGGTATTTTTTTAAAAGCTTTCTTCTGTAACCATTGCAGGTTCGAAATGAGAAGGCAAGGAGATACTTGACAGGTATGCGTAAAAAGCAACCTGTGCTATTTTCTGAGAAAATTCCAAATGCAGATCCTTTAGCACTTCGATTACTGCAACGGCTATTAGCATTTGATCCAAAGGACCGGCCAACTGCCGAAGAGGTATGTTGTGTCTTGACAGCTGTAGCTTGTTATGTAAATTTCTCGTATTGTTTGATTGAGTTTGTAGAACTTGTTTTTCGAAATTTTTCTGAAAAATTAAAAATTAGTTTGACAAAAATAAACGCAAAATGTATTTGTAAATTTTTAAAAATTATATTCACCCTGAAAAAAAAAATCACGTGAAAATAATGTGTTTCTTATTTTTTTCTTCACCAAATTAGTTTTTTTTTTCTTTTTTTTTTTTTTCAGAAACCAATTCTGAAAACTCAATCAAACACTTCTTTATGGTAATATTTACCTACAATTTTGATGTATTTGTTTTGTTAGGCATTAGCTGATCCTTACTTCAAGGGGCTAGCCAAAGCTGAGAGGGAACCTTCCTGTCAGCCAATCTCTAAGCTAGAGTTTGAGTTCGAGAGGCGACGGGTAACGAAGGAGGACATAAGGGAACTAATATTTCGGGAGATACTCGAATATCATCCACAATTGCTTAAAGATTACTTGGCTGGGAATGAAGGCCCCAATTTTCTTTATCCCAGGTTCCTGAATTTTTTAAACTAAGCACCTTTGAACTGTAATTATGCTTTTGTAGCTTTATTCCACATTTTATGCTCTTTTCCCAGATTCTTAACTGTTATATCAATTGTCTGCAGTGCTATTGGTCAATTTAGAAAACAATTTGCGTATCTTGAGGAAAACAGTGGTAAAAGTGGGCCCGTAATTCCTCCGGAGAGGAAGCATGTGTCACTCCCTCGGTACATCTCTCTCTCTCTCTCTCTCCCCTTCCTTTTGCCAAAGCTGCCTTCCTAGTGGGAAAAGGACGCAATGGAAGTTAGTTACTGCAAGTAGAACCTATAGCCTTCTTTAATTCTTTTAAGCAGTGGTGAAAAGGTTTTTATAATAATAAAATTATGGCCAAAGGCATGATACAGAGCTTGTTTGGTGTAGCTTTATTAACACTGAAAGTCTATAATCAGAAGTGAAAGCTAAAAAGTATCCCTTCCCCAGCTTCCAAATAATCAGTTTTTTTCAACTTATTTATATTTGCCTCATAGCTAATAAGTAGAAGTGGTATAGTAGCACAGACTTCCAAAAGAAAATTTTTAAGAAGAAAAAAAGCTATAAGCAGCCCCAAACGAGCCCAATCTCTTTCCCGGAGATTATATCAATTCTGAAAGACATAGTTCTCAATCTTTGTTTTTTGTTTACAGGTCTACAGTTAACTCGAGTACAGTTCCTCCCAGAACAAATCAAAATTTGGCTTCATGTGGTAGTCGGCAAGTTACAGAAGAGTCGTGTAATAGCATTAGAGTAACGGATGCAATTTCTGGTGGAAATTTTGTGAAACCATCACGCCCTCCACCTAAGGTGCCTGCAGGTAAGAATTTTAATTTTTTAACCATACATCGTAAACAAGTTCTTCTGCCAATTGTTGTCAACAGGTAGCCCAAAGAACTTTATGTTTTTAAAGATCTGGATTGTTTGAAACAGTATTGGGATTGCTTGATTTTAACTTTGAATGACTAGAAATTTATTCATTAAGTAGGATTGAGGTTGATAATATAAAATCAAAAGCTAAGGTGGGGAATGCAAAGAAAAGCACAGGGATAAGGAGGGGAATGCGCCAGTCCGAAGTAAGAATCATATTCTCTGATGAAGACTTGTCATGGATTTGCCCCCCCCATAGTGATGCCGTAGTGGTGACCTTGCAAATTGGAGAGTCCACCGTCGAAAGGATATGAAGGTAGTTCTTCGGAGATTATGTATTATGAATTGTTCAGGAAGTTAGGATTGTCACATGACGACCTGCATCTCACAGATTCACCGCTTTATGGCTTCAACTCCAGTCTAGTTTTTCCTTTGGGGAAAATCTTTTTACCGGTTAAGGCGGGAGCAATAATTCAGCAAGTAGAGTTTTAGGTGGTTAACGGCCCCTCCCCGTACAATGCAATAATGGGAAGGGCATGCCTTCACAAGATGAAAGTTGTTCCATCCATTTTTCATCAAGTTTTAAGATTCCCAGATGGGAATGGTGTTGGAGAGATCAGGGGCAATCAGGCATCGGCTGAATGGTGCATGGTAGTGTCCACCTCCAACAAGATGGACCAGGAGGTTCAAGCACACGAAGAAGACGAAGAACAGGCCGGCATAGAGCCAATTGCCAAGAGTGCGGAAGAATTGGAAAAAGTGCCGATTGACCCAGCGGATGATGAAAAGTTCTTTCTTGTGGGAAATGGTCTTAGTTTGGAAGAAAATGATCAAGTGATCCACTTCCTAATACAGTTCAGTGATGTGTTAGTATGTTCGCATGGACCTGTATGAATTGGAAGGAATCAATCCGGAGGTAGCTTGCCACAAGCTCAATGTAGATTCGAACTCAAAGCTAGTAATACAAAAAAGTAGGAGATCGGCACCACAACACGTAGAAGCCATTAAGGAGGAAGTAAAGAAGTTACTCGAAGCCGATGCCATTCGAGAAGTACAATATTTGGAGTGGGTTGTCTAATATCGTCGTCATCAAAAAGAAGAATGGAAAATGGAGAGTTTGTATAGACTTAACTAGTCTAAATAGGGCATGTCTGAAGGATAATTTTCCCTTGCCCAAAATCGACCAGCTGCTAGATGCCATTTCAGGACATGAAAGGATGAGCTTTTTGGATGCATACCGAGGGTATCATCAAATAGCTATGCATCTAGACGACGAGAAGAAGATAGCCTTCGTCACTTCTGTAGGATTGTTCTATTATAAGGTGATGCCTTTGGACTGAAGAATGCGGGGGCAACATACCAACAACTGGTTACAAAAATGTTCCATGGTTTGATTGGCCGGAACCTCGAAGTATATATTGATGACATGGTGATCAAGTCACATGAGGGTAAAAGCCACCTAACGGATCTCCAGGAAGCATTTGGGATCCTCCGAAGATACAAAATGAAGTTGGACATAACGAACTGTGCCTTTGGGATTGGATCGGGGAAGTTCCTTGGTTACATTGTCACTCAACGGGGCATAGAAACGAGTCTCGATCAAATTTGAGCATTGCTCGACATAGCCCTACACACGTTGGTGAAAGGCATCCAGGCACTCACAGGAATGGCAGCCACACTTAGCAGATTCATCAGCCGATCTTCGAATCGCTGCTGACTATTCTTCCAACTGACGAAGAAAGAAAGCTTAATTCTCACAGACTCCGGAATGCAACCAAGCATTGCAGAAATTGAAAGAATACTTGGTGAAACCACAAAAAATTGTACGTTTACTTGGCCGTCTCCGATCATGTCGTAAGTGTTGGACACTCGTCAGAGAATCAACGAAAAAGGCAATCCCATGTGTTCTATGTAAGCAAAACTTTGCTTGAAGCGGAAATGAGATATTTGCTGTTGGAAAAGCTTGTCTTGGCCCTAGTAATCACATCCAGGAAATTGATGCACTATTTCCTGGCCCACTCCATCATTGGCTACACCGAACACCTGCGTAAGAGGATTCTTCACAAGCCAGATTCATCAGGAAGAATCTCAAAATGGGCTGTCGAGCTCGAGCAATATGGCATTCAATTTAAACCAAGGACTGGAATTCTCTGCTCGGTTGGACTTTTCGGCCACCAACAATAAATGCGAGTATAAGGCCCTCATTAATGGATTCACGACTGTGAGAACACTGGGGGCAGATTCCATCCCTGTGCTATATGACTCTTAGTCACAAAACAGATGATCGGGGAATATATCGCCCACGACGAAACGATGGTGAAGTATCTAGTTGCGACCAAAATAATAGTAGAATAATTCTCCTCGTTCGAAATCCAACAGGTAGGATGAGACCAGAACAACTATACTGATGCGCTGGCCAGTTTAGCCTCGGCTATTGATCAAATGAGAAGCCGAAAAATCGAGATTGACACTATCATGAAGTTTTGAGCATTCAGCATGGAGAAAGATGCATGATCCCTTTAGTTAGTTTTCTGTCCAAAGGAATACTATGAGTCGATAAGAAGGAAATGCATTGGATTTGGCAGCAGGCCATGCGTTTTTGGTTAAACAAAGAGAACTAGCTATTTAGAAAGCCGTATTCCGGTCCCTACCTAAAGTGTGTCAACCCAGAGGAGGTAATTGGGATGTTTGAAGAAATCCATAAGGGATTATGCGGAGCACATGCAGGAGGAAGATCATTGGCACATTAGGCACTTACCCAAGGGTATTGGTGGCTGTATATGCAAAAAGATGCCCAACAGTTTGTCCAACAATGTGAAGCATGTCAAAGGTACGTGCCGATCATATGCTAACCATTCATGGAGCTCAACCTGGTCGCAAGCCCCTGGCTATTTGCACAATGGGGCTTGGATCTAATTGGACCTATGCTTACCTGGCAACTAGAAGTGGTTAATTGTAGCCATGGATTACTTTACAAAGTGGATAGAGGCTGAGTCGTTAGCCAATATCAGAGACGTGGATATCAGGAGATTCGTATAAGGAACAAATCAACCGGGTTCGGCATTCCTTAGAGCCCTCAATTCTAATAATGGCATGACGACATACAAGTTTGATATGGCCTATATAGGGAATAGTGCTGATCAATATTGGGGATCAAAGCCTATTACTCCACACCAAACCTATCCCCCACAAGCCCAATGGGATAGGCTGAGGCTATTAAACAAAATTGTCTGAGTGATAAAAACTGATCTGGAGGCAGCCAAAGAAAAGTGGGTTGAAGAGCTTCACAATAGTACTCTGTGTCCTACTGAACTACTAAGCGCACCATGGGTGAGACTATCGTTCTCCTCTCGATTTGGATGGAGTCGTTATCTCACTAGAAATCGCGAACTCTTTACAGGAATGGTTGATCTGGTTAAGACGCATGAATTAAAAGGCCTAATTCTAAAGGAAACAGAACTTGGCCCCGAGAAACGTAAGCAGGTCTTCTCTTCGTTTGGCAGGTGTATAATTTTCGGGGAAACACGAAGTATGACGATAGCCGCTTTGTGGGCGTAGCAGATTTAGAGTAGAAATTGTTACACCTCGCGGAGTGTGCAAAGTCTAGGCTCCTCGCCAGTTCTGCCGTGTATATTGAAGATCTTGGTCCAAGTGATGTTAGACAACGCGATGGAAACTTGGCGAAATTGAGGAGTGGACCATACAGAGTTTGGATTTTGACTAGAGAAGGGGCATATGATCGATTGCCGACCTGTAAGAAATATGCTCCCCTAGGCTTGGAATGGCTGCAACACTTTAAAATATTTATCATTAACTTTGTAATTATGATGTAATAAATGCTTAAGACTAAAGCTTAACGAAATACTACAAGGTTCAAGATTTTAAGTTAGACAAAAACTGTACTCTGTTTGTATTCTTAAAACTGTACGAAAGGACGTGTTAGTCCACAAGTACGCAAAAGAGACCGGACGCTCATATCCAAAAGAAAAGAAAAGAAAAAAGAGAGGCAATTTTAGGTGTTTGTAGTTCGATTGGATTGCATCAGGGTTTTGGAAGAGGAATTTAGAAGTATAATGGGGAGGCCTCGATGTACGTCTACCATGGTTCAGGGTAGCTCTTTCCACCCCTTTTGAAGAAAAAATTCTCATATATTATTCAGGTTGGTCGACTGGTAGAGAGCATTGGCTTCATTCTAGGGTGGATTAATACTGTCCTTTTATGTCGGCCTCTTCGCAATGCTTTAACTGTTTCTAACGGTGACCTTAAGCGCCACGAAGTTCCCGCTCGAGCCGATCCAGTTGTGCGAGTAGTGTCTAATCCTAATAGTTTTTCTCCATAGTCCGTTTTTCTTTGTTTATCCTATATGTTCCATCTCTCCTCAATATTATTGCGTTTGGTTCACGGTTAATTCTTGTATATACGCGCATATGGATCAGAGTCTTGTTCGTCTTGTTTGACTCTGGCATAGGTTACTGGATGCATAGCATCGGCCGCGGCGACCGATAATGAAGAGGTGCTTTGATGTTTTGCGTCGGTTCTCTGCATTGCCTCCAGCGTTCCTCTTCTCCGCTATTCAGCTTCTCTCCTCTTTAATCTGCATCTTCTTTCATCTTAAACGGTCCCTATCCCTGGTCAGCCACTGATTGGGCTTCCATGAAACTTAGGTTTCATCGCTTCAATGAGCCACACCTATTCGTACTAGTACAACAGCAAGGTGATAGCATACATTTAGTTTTGCTCAGAACTAGATAACCTTACCAATGAAATTAGTATTTTGGATGCCGTTGGCCAAGAATTTGTTGATTTAGGTGTTGTCCCATTTGTTTTGTTTCCAATAATAGACGAATGTCTTTGGGGATTAGCGCTATGTGCCTTGAGCTTTAGTAAGGCATAACACTGTATCCAAAAAGACAGAAATCCCTTGTGGTTTCAAATGTAGCAATCTCGCTTCTATCTGGTGCTGAAAGATGTACTCAAATGGACCCCTTAGCTGGCAGCTTCTGTTTGTCTTCCTTACTTTATCAGAGATGTGGGCCCTCGTACCCGCCTTTTGACTTGTTAGAGCTAAGTCAGAATTCTTTAGTATGACGACGTCCCTGTTTTCTCTAGAACCGAGAGAGTTTATGTGATGACTCAAACAGTTTAAGGGCTCTTGGTGGTTCACACCCATGACTCGATTACACGATGGTTGTTGACCGAACGATGGTGTGCTGCAAGCACAACGGAAATCACAATTATACTGACAATAAAATCGAAGTAACATTAATGGTCCATTTGCAACAGATTCGGGGTACAGTAGTGGTCCTCCTTCCCTCAAGAAAGGGGTGACGCAAACTCCGCATTTCCCCGGAAATCTATATCTAGTCTTCTGCCTTCCTGAAGAGGATCCGAGAGAGTACCTGAAATAAGAGATTCGATCTTGATATCAGTTCTTAGAACTCTAGAAAATGCTGGCAGTTGGGGACTGGTAAAGATTGGTAGCAATATTGACAGCTCCTTTAAAGCCTAAATCTATGTTTAACAGGTTGGTTCAAAGAAAGCATTCCCGTTCATGATTTTGAAAAAAAGAATCGGCGTTTAAGAAGAATGGGGGGAACTCCGTAATGACAAAGAATCCTCGTGTAAGCGAGGATGAAGAGGAAACCTAATCTCCATGCCATCTACTATGGCCGAAACTACCGGGGATCCTATCAATCTAAACGGACAAAAGAAATTTATCACTAGGGGGGGGGCCTCTATGTTTTATATTGGGCTGGCCGATGGTACATAAGATGGGCTAACCTCTAGACTATAGCAGCGTAAGCATATTTTTCCTTTTCGCAAAACTATACGAATCAAAAAATGGAGGCTAAGAATTATAATAAGCAAGAGAAGGGTACCCCAAGGAGTTTTTGACATGCTGAACAGAACAGGTGTCAACGCTGCCTCTGGGGATGTTTTGGTACGAAAATATTTGTCAAGCAAGTATCAACAGATTCGACAGCAATGATTTGCACCTTTATCTTGTAAAGGGAGGGAAACGCACACTTTAAGACGCGCACTGTCGCTTCGTTTGAAATAACTTGCCATCGCATTTAATGTAAAGTGCTGATGAACGTTCGGAACTGGCCGACACGTGCTTCCCTGACGTAAGCACATTAAAACCTATCCCAAAGGGATCGTACATCAACAGGGAATCTGCAAATCTCTTTTTAAGAAAGGAACAAATTTTACGATTGTTTCTAAAAAAAACTTATCCGAGGAATAGTACGTTGGCTAGAATGTTTACCGATCTCTTGCTTAGAGCAAGGAACAACGCTATAATGGTTTTCCTATGAAAACCTATCAGAGGGATATGTACCGTCGGCACATCGATGTTGCCGACCTCGTTTGCACAGAGCAAGGAACCAAACCTATGGATAGTTTTCTAATGAAACCTATTCGAACGGATAGTATAATCGGTGGGGATGTTGTTGACTGATGGTGTTCTTGTAAAAAACCTATCCGAAGGGATAGTATGTTGGCAGGGAATCTGTCGACTCTTGCTCCGAGCAAGAAACAACCTACGATGGTTTCTATGAAAAACCTATCCGGGGATAGTATTTGGCAGGGATGTTGCTAGTGTTGTTAAAAGCGCGCCTAGGCGGCAAGGCGCATCAAGGCTCAACTGTGGCGCTCTGAACTAGTCCCAGGTGAGGGCGCATTGGAGAAAGTGGCGCCTTAGACGCGACTGGAAGCAGGCGACAGAGGCGGCAAGGCTCTGCCTAAGCGCGACTGATGTTTACGGTCCTAATCTTTGATCTAACGGCTGTGGTGTGTGTTCGGAATGGCTCTAAACACAGAGATCACAACTTATATACACTTACAACCTCATACGACTGAAACGAAGCCCTAACCTGTGTCGTCTCTTTCGGCTCCTCCCATTCTCGACCTTCGATTCGACTTCGACTTGGACTGGGTGGGGCTACGACTTCGACTTCGAATCAACTTCCAGGTGGCGCTAACACTCTCTCTCTCTCCCCTTCTGCCTTCTTTCGACTTTCGATTCGTCTCTCTCTCGCCCTCCTTCGACTTCGATCTCGATTTGTCTGATCTGATCTGATACAGTCTTTCATTTTCATTTTTTATTTTCTCCCTTCTTTCTCTGTCTTCGCTATCATCGACTTGGACTGGGTGGCCTCTACTCTTCTTTATATTATTAATTATTTTATGCCTTAGTCCTCTGTTAAACAAAAAATAAATACAAATATTATGCCTTTGTCAATTAAATATTTTACAAATATAAATTTTTTTAAATAAATACAAAAAAAAAATAAATCAAAGTAAATATTTTCCATTAATATTTTTCATTGTATTAATTAATTAATTTTTCATAACTTACATTGTATTATTTTATTTTCCTATTACATTATAACAATTAATTAATTAATTGTATTAGTCTTCATTATTAATTAATTATGTATTACACATCTGCTCTCTGATCAGTCTTCATTGTATTAATTAAATTTTTCCATTACATTACACAATTAATTAAATACCACTATGCATTACACAATTGCATTACATTGTATTAATTAATTTTTCATTACTTACAAAACAATTATCATTGTATTATTATACACTTTCCTGGCTTTGAAGTAATTTATTCTGTATTTTGTCTGAATCTTGATTACTTTTTATTTTTAAAAAATTGTCTGGTACTATGAAGATTTAGTTTATGTTAATTTTTTATTTTTACCTAAGCGTGCGCCTTGCTTCAATAAAGCCCGCGCCTCGCCTTGTCCTAAGCCCTGAGAAGACCTTCAGCGCCTTAGTGCGCCTGTGAGCCTTTAAAAAACACTGGATGTTGCCGACTCTTGCTTAGAGCAAAGGTCATAAACGACGATGGTTTCCTATGAAAAACCTAATCCCAGGATAGTATGTCGGCGGTGGATGCTGCCAACCTGTGGGTTCCTATAAAAAACCTATCCGAGAGATAGTAAATGCGGTAGGGATGATGTCCGCTTCTTTGCATTAGGAGGAGTAACAAAACCTACGATGGTTTTCCTATGAAACCT